GGCCGCCGCGCCCCTCCCCCACCCCGCGTCGCCCTGCGGGCCTGTCACCCGCGCCCGGCTGTCCTCACCCCTCGCGACGAAACTTCTTTGTTGACTTTGCAACTTGGCGGAAAAGGACCCCGCAGACGACGGCCGCGTGCACGGACCGGACCCTTGCGGAAAGCCTCGCCCCGGTCGGCCGCCGCGGAGAGCGGTGCCTAGGCCGGGAGGACGCGGCTGGCCGCTCGCCTTTGTTCTGGGGTGCTGAGCGTCTCTGCGTGGAGCAGGTTGTCCGTGCGAGTCCGTGCGCTCGGCGTGTGCTCGTTGCCCTCCGGACGCTCGGTGCGCGCGAGAAGTCGCCTGCACCTTCCGGGCGCGGTGATGCGTTTGCCTTCCCACCGTCGGTGCAGGTGTCTTTAGATACTAAGATAACTTGGTGGTTTTGTAGAAGAAATACCGATTCTTTCGTTATCGGCGCGGGCACTTTTTACACTTCAGGTGTTTTTTGTGGAGCTTAAATTCTTACGGTTGAGATTTTCGCTAGTTTATGTGAAAATGGGTCATAGAACACCGCTGAGTTTACTCGAGTGATAAAACGTTTGTTATGATCCATGTTACATCTTGATGGAAGTTGATTTAGCGTTTAAAAAGCCTTCCTTACTACACATTTTAAGTGTAAGAAAGCGATATTTTACAATTTACGAAGCAGGCTTCCTAACAGCCCAGTGGAGTAGGTAGGTGTTATTTTCTTTTATGGATGTGGAAATGAAGGTTTAGTTTTTTATGTCCAAGGTTCACACGGGCAGTGGAGACACATTTGAACCCAGGTGTGCAATGTTCGGATTGCAAAGTGCTTCCCTTTCATTAAATAACAGTTGTGTTTATTATATGCCATGAGTGAAGCTAGTCATCACTGAAGACTCCTTTGGAAAAAATAGTGTAGTGAAACTGCTGGAGATGAGGAATAACATTCTTCTTGACAGGTAGATTTCCACCTACACAGGTTTCAGGTTGTTTTGGATTTCAGGGGTTTGGTTTGCACCACTAGGGACTGGATACTGTGCTACCCAGTCTTTTTATTTTTATTTTGTAACTAGACCTCGTGGGCTTGAACTTGTTGTGATCCTTTTGCCTCAGGTTCCCAGAGTGTGGCCTTTACAGGCATGTGCCACCATGCCTGGTTGGATTCAAGTTCTAATGACCAACTCTAGTGAGACATACATGCATTGATTTATCACTTGATATGTAATGGCATATGATGTTCAGTCTCCATTCTTTTGGACTGGGCTCTTAGTACTTATGTTGTATTTATGACATTGGTAATTCAGGAATTGATTTTTTTTTTTTTTTTGTACCAGTGATCGAACTGAGGACTTTGCATATGCCATACAGGTGCTTATGCAGGAATTGACTTTTAATGATATCACTAAGTGGAAATGTGTTATGAGAAAAGAAACAGTTCTAGTGCTCAAAGATATCTTTCTCCTTGTAAAATTGTAATTGGGTAAGGTATAAATGATATTCTTATTGACTTGAAGACTGGTCCCTATTTATATAGTAATTAGTGTTTACTGAGGAGTCAATGTGTGGTATATTATTAACTGAACACTATACATCTCATTTAACTCAACCAGCATTTTTTAGGAGACAGTGTCTTCATTTTACAGGTGAGGGAACTAAAGGTTAGTAGGATTAAGTAATTTCCCAAGGTCACACAGGTAGTAATGGCAGTGACAAGATTCAAATGCATGTGTGCCAAACTCTGGACTTAGATACTGAAAAGTGAGTACCAGCTGTCTTATGTTGAATCAATAATGTAAATTGGAAAATCGCATTTTATATTTGAAGAAACTCGTGAAATGAAAGTTAATTTTAATACTTCCCATGCCTCCTATTTCAAATTTGCAAATTGGAAGTGTTGAAATTTTCACAATTTAAATTTAACTTCAGATAAAACTGGTAGCAAAAGTAGGGTTACAGAGAATTTCATGATTAAAAAATTGCAAACTGAAGATACAGAAACCTATACAAAACTGTTCTATTTGTTGTCAGTTATTGTTTATTAAAACAATGCAATTTGAGTTTTTATTTGATTATGAGGGAAAATATATTGTAGGACTGGAAAATACTATGGCTAAATATAAAGAAAATTAAATTTAAAAAAATCTGTTAAAGCTATTTCCTGTGCTTAAAAAACAGATAATATAGTTGACTTTTGTTTTAAAAATATTCTAATTTGGAGCAAAGAGATTAAGAATGTTACTAAAATATACACCATGAAAATAGTATAATTCTCTGATAAAATTAGCTTTTTGCTGTGTATGGTACTGTGTATACTATATTGCTGCAAAGGTTTTTTTTTTCCCCAGAACCCAGGATTGAACTCAGGCCCTTACGCTTGCCAGGGAAGCACTTATTCCACTGAGCCATCTCCCTGGCGCTGCAAATGTTTTGTATTCATAATAAGCAGTACTATTTTCTATTTTTTTTTTTTTCTGCTTTTGTAGTAAATGTTTGCTAGATTCTTAGAAAATCTCTGTAGTGCATAGTGTATAAAATTCAGTTTATTCCCTGGCAAGGGCCTGAGTTCAATCCCTGGTTCCGCAAAAAAATCAATTTTTGTAAGATCAAGTCTGTAACCTAATGAAAATGACTCATTTGTATATAGTTTCTATATGTGCTATATGTACTGCTATTTATCATCAAATCTTTAAATATCAGAGTTGGAGGAGATCTTACAAATACAGCCTCCTTATTTTATGGAATAAGTATCTGATCCTGCAGTACATTACAAATATTTTACCTTTAGGGAAAAAAAAAAATCTACCCTTTGCTCAGAGATAATACTTTTTGCCTCCTTCAGCACTGGGGACTGAGTCTAGGACTTTTCTTTACATTAAATTACATCCCCAGCTCCCCCCACCCCTTGTTTTATTTCATTTTGAGACAGTGACTCAGTTGCTCAGGGTGGCTTCAATTTACACTTGTGCAGTCTTGCCTCAGCCTCCCAGGGTGCTGGAATTATAGGCATGTGCCACCATGCCTAGCTTTCTTTCTTTCTTTTTTTTTTTTTTTGAAAAGTACTGCAGTGGTGGAATATATATTTGCAAGAAAGTGTTGATATATTTTGCTACAGTAGAGTGCTTACATTTCACCCCAGTGTTGGATAGAGCTTTTTGTTTCTTTCATTTTTCTAAATTACTGTTTAGACTAGTAGAATATAATACAAAATCTTGCCAGTAGGTTTTTTGTTTGTTTGTTTTTTAAATGGGGTATTAAAGTAATTGTGCCTCATGCATTGGGGAAAATACTTATTTAAAAGGTTGAAGTTGCAGTGTATTGCAGTTGACTGTGCTCATCTTCTCCTATGGTAAAACCTTAATTTAAAACTTAGTTTAAATTTGGAAGAAATGGGTTAAAAGGATGGGCAGATGTTAGATTCAGATAGCTGGTTATCCTCTTTCTAGAACCACATGGTCTTTCATCTCTGTTTCTAGACATATGTACTTCAGTCTTAACTGCAGATCAGCTTTCATGGCTTTGGCATATACTGTGGCCAAGCAAACCTGAGTTTGACAAATGTTTATTGAGAACCTGTTTGAGTCAAGCATTTTTTTTTTTTTTTTTTAACATTTATTTTATTGTGTGTGTGTGGCCAGCTCAGCCCACCAGGGGGCGCGGCTGGCTGGCATGTGGTGCTGGAGGATCGAACCGCGGTCCCTGTGCTTTGCCGAGCCTGTTCCAAGTAGGTGCTTTAGACCACTGAGCCATCTCTCCAGCCCTGAGTCAAGCATTTTTGTATGTATTTGGGCTAGGGAGGGAACAAAATAGAGAAAATTCTTTCATAGTGCTTACATTGTAGTTTTTAACTTGGTAGGGGAGAAAGGGAAACACAAGTGATAAATTCTGTGGTGTAACTAGGTTACAAATGTTTTTGAACACAGAAAATTCAAAGGTAATAAGGAGCCCTAGAATACAAGGGCAAAGATTGTAGTGTTGTTGTTTTGTTGTTGTTTTTCTTTTTTTTTTTTCCCCAGAACCAGGGATTGAACTCAGGCCCTGGCGCTTGCCAGGCAAGTGCTTATTCTACTGAGCCATCTCCCTAACCCCCAAAGATTATAGTTTTAAATATGACTATGAAGGCAGTTATCATTGAGGTGAGGTCAGGAGGAGTTACCCTTGCAATCCTGGATAGAGGAATCTAGGCAGAAGAAACAGCCAACGTTAGGTCTTAGGATTGGCGCATGCCTAGAGTGTTCAGCACACCACCAGGACAGCACTGGAGCCACATGGATTGAATGAGTTGGAGGAGAGGGAGCATAAGACCGGAGAAATCCTGGGGCCATGGAGGAGTTAGAGGAGTTGTGAGCAAAGGCTTTCATTGCTTTTGCTGTTAGTGAGCTATAGAGAGCTGTGGGACAGTTTTGAGCAGAGGTGAGACATCATTTGTTGTGCCACTTTGTCACTGTCTACGCATACTCCTGCTTGCTATCACTATTGAATCCAAATTTTTGGGAACTGAAGAGTCTAATGGGCCCATCATGGGTGAGGTGCCTACTGTTGATCCAAGAAGACAGGTGGTAGTGGGAAAGGTAATAGAAGAGTAAAAAATAATAATTGTGTTCATTCCTGAGCTGGATAGACATCTCAAAAGATCCCTGCTATACTATTGACCTCTAGAGTACATTTAGGTTGAAGTACTGAGTGCTTAATGTGGGGCTGCTTAGATATCCTCATCTAGATATATAGTTCCTATTTCTTGCAGACCAGGTTTCTTTCCTTTAAAGACCTGAAGTGTACTTGGTTTTAGTATAATAGTAAGAGACTGGAGCTAGTTCTTAGAGGACAGGAACTGGAAGTAAGACACCAGGGGAAAACAGATCAGATTGTGTTTTAGACTGCTATTGTAGTGAGTTAAGCAGAGATTGTGGGGGTTTAAGGCAGTGGAAATAGAAAGAATGTGAAAGAAGAAAGAGATTAGGGTGAACTTAGAATATAGTTAGGTGTGGTTGTGCATGCCTGTAACCTCAGCACTCAGGAGGCTGAGGTAGGAGGATCATTGTGAGTTCAAGGCAAGCCTGGGCTACACTGAGTTCTAGGCCAGTCTGAACTGCATAGTGAAACTTTGTTGCAGAAAATAAAAAGAAAATAAATTATAGAACATATATATGCGTGTGTGTGTGTGTATGTGTGTGTGTGTGTGTGTGTGTGTAGTTGATGTAGGGAAGAGAAGTTTTTAATGATTGATTTCTAGAGTAGTTTCATCAACCACAAGTAAGAAAAGTTGTTTTGAACATTGTAAATGCTGGCATAATAAAGTGCTATAGATTGGGTGCTTAAGC